GTACTACGGTCGACACACCCCATATTGCCAAGTTCCTGGACCTTTTACAAGGTTCTTACAGGAAAATGGCATAGTAGTCCAGTATTCTATACCGGGCGAGCCTCAGTAGAATGGAGTAGCTGAAAGACGCAACCATACCTTAATGGATATGGTGAGAAGCATGATAAGTTACTCTACCCTACCGATAAGTTTATGGATGGAGGCATTAAAAACCGCCATTCATATACTTAATCGAGTGCCAAGCAAGTCGGTGCCCAAAACACCGTATGAGTTGTGGACAGGAAAGGAACCCTCACTTAACTATTTACGTGTGTGGGGTTGTCCAGCTGAGGCAAAAGTTTTTAACCCAAACATAGAGAAGCTAGACTCCAAAACAGTCAGTTGCCATTTCATTAGCTATCCAAAAAAGTCAAAAGGTTATCGCTTTTATTGTCCTGACAGACAAACGAAGTTTGTAGAAACAAGACTTGCTGTCTTCTTAGAGGATGATATGATCAGGAGGAGCATGGTAGCGTGAGAAATTAGTTTTGAAGAGAAGCGGGTATACGTGCCCACTCCTATGGTTTAGGAGCCATTCTTTACGCTACCCGTTGTTGCTGCACCAATAGTGCAAGACACTGTAGTAACATCACATGTTGTTAGTTCTCCTGTGGCAACAATAAATGAACACGAGGAACCTGTCCTTCAGGATCCCTAAGAACCTGTTGTCACACATGAGAGAGAGCAACAACAGCCTCATATAGAACAAGCGTCATCTAACGAGGCTCCTAGAAGATCTCAAAGAGTCAGGAGATCAACCATTCCTGATGATTACGAAGTTTATGAATGTGAGGAATTTCAAATAGAGGGTGATCCCACCTCATTTGAAGAAGCCATGAGAAACGCTCACTCATCCAAGTGGCTTGAAGCCATGGAAGATGGAATGAAATCAATGAAAACCAACGATGTTTGGAACTTAGAAACAATTCCTAAAGGAGCCAAGACAGTAGGTTGTAAATGGGTCTACAAAACTAAACATGACTCTAAAGGAAATATAGAAAGGTTTAAAGCATGACTTATAGCGAAAGGTTTCAAGCAAAGAGAAGGCATAGATTACAATGAGACATTTTCTCCAGTCTCATGTAAGGATTCTTTTAGAATCATAGTGGCGCTTGTAGCACATTACGACTTAGAATTACATCAGATGGATGTAAAGACGGCGTTCCTAAATGAGGATCTGGAGGAAAAAATTTACATGGCACAACCGAAAGGTTTTGTTGTGGAAGGAAAATAACGTATGTGATGCCGCCTGAAGAAATCCATTTACGGATTAAAACAGGCTTCAAGACAGTGGTATTTGAAGTTTGATAGTAAAATAAGAAATTTTGGGTTTTAAGAAAATGTAGAGGACAATTGCGTTTATGCAAAGTTCAAGAATGGAAAATATATTTTTCTAGTCTTGTATGTGGATGACATCTTGCTCGCTAGCAGTGATGTTAATCTACTGCTAGAAACAAAGAAGTTCTTGTCCTTGAAGTTTGATATAAAGGATCTTGGTGAAGCTTCATTCATCCTAGGAATAGAGATTCATCGAGATAGAGAAAATGGGGTTTTAGGATTATCATAAAAGGCATACTTAGAAAAGGTTCTAAAAAATACAGTATGCAAAAATTATAAGTCTTCACCTGCTCCCGTAGTCAAGGACGACAGATATGGGGAATTTCAATGTCCTAGGAATCAATATGAGATCGATCAAATGAAAGCGGTTCCATATAGTTCAGCTGTCAGAAGTTTACAATATGCTCAAGTGTGTACTCGTCCTGACTTAGCATTTGTTACCAGGTTACTTGGAAGATATCAGAGTAATCTAGGAATAGAACACTGGAAATTAGTAAAGAAAGTTTTGCGTTACCTGCAAGGTACGAAGGGTCTCATGCTAACGTACAGAAGATCTGATTCCCTGCACATAGAGGGGTATATAGATTCTGATTATACGGGAGATGACAGAAAATCCACGTCAGGATACATATTCACTCTCGCAGGAGGAGCTATATCGTAGAAAAGCTCAAAGCAAACCGTCACTACATCATCCACGATGTATGCCAAGTTTGTAGCATGTTATGAGGCCACAGGGCAGGTGAATTGGCTGAAAAAATTAATGCCCGAGTTGAAAATGGTAGACGATATACATAAACTACTCAAGTTATACTGCGATAATAATCCAGCAGTATGTTATGCTCACAACAATAAGTCAAGTGGTGCTACCAAATACATTGACATAAAGTATTATGTTGTGAAAGACAAAGTCCGGGATCATATAATTAGTCTTGAGCATATAAGAACAGAAAAGATGCTCGCGGATCCGCTTACAAAAGGCTTACCACCCAGCGTGTTCAGAGAACACTTAGCCGGCATGGGTTTAAGGGAAAGCCTATGATTCCTGGACAATAAGGGCCTAGTTAAGAATCTGTTTTAAAACAGAGAGGTGCATTGTAGCTGTTTAATCTAATGGCAACTGACCGTGACGATGAGGCACGCTCTATGCATTGATCTGTGATGGAATGGGAACAAGATAAAGTAAATAAGTTGATTTTAAGTCATAAGGTGAGATCAAGGGGGAGAATGTTAGATGATCTCCACGGCCAATTGGGCCCTTAGATCCACGCCCTGATCAGGGGCGCCCAACCGTTCTATGGTTGGGGGGCCCTCGTCGCACAGCGCCATAAAAAGGGAGGTGGGGGCCGGGGCATAAGGCACGAGGTTCACCTGAGCCTCTAGACGCCCCACCTACAGTCCCTAAACCCTAACCGATCTAAGAGGGGGTGCTGCCAGCGACTGGAAGACCGCCACCGGCCACCGCCGCCTCTGCACCGTCGCCACCGCGACAGCGCCTTCACCGCTGGGCTTCTCCGTGCCACCGACGAGCAACCTCATGGCCAGCTCGTCTTCTACGAAGGCGGCCGATGGTTTGCACCTCCGCAACCTCTCTCTCTCCCTCTTTCTCTCTGTTTCTCGTTTTAGTTTATGTTTTAGGGTTTACACTTCATCAAATGTCAGTAGGTATGCTAGATCTATGGCTAGTGATCCTATAATATTCTATCACATACACCTATGTCCATCTTTGTGGACTCTAGTGCAGTGTAATTACTTGTGCTAAGTGCTAGGTTACTGTTAGGATTGGAAGGTTAGGTTTTGAAATAAACTTGGGTAGAGAGGGATCACACCAACGACTAATTTGCTTTGTAGGGGAGTTTTTTAATGGCTGCAACAGCTTTGATGCTCAGAGGAAAAGATAGGGCGTGTTTGCGACCACACTGCACAGCCGGCTGGCTAGCCTAATCTGGCCCTGTGCTCGGGCAGCAGCCTGCTCCAAGTGGTGCAACATGACTCTTGTTTACGCCTGTGTGTACTCAGTGAGAGGCTCAAAGTAGGTCGTGTTTGTCATCGAAGAGGCGGTAATGGGTGAGAGGCTAACCGCCACCAACTACCACACCGAGATAGTGTTTGTCATTTGGTCGTGGTCGGCCAGCCCATAACAATAAATAGAAATGGACATGAATGAAAGGAGAATGAGGTTGCTCTTCCATAACCGTTACAACAACAAATCAAAGTTTGACATGAAATAGTTGGCCTCGGACATGCTAATTTAACAATTCATGGCATTATCTGCGGCTACATGGGATAATCAAAGTCGATGAAAGAAGAACGAAGCATGGGTCGATCAAGTTTTAAAGCCAACAAACGAAAAAGTTCACGAAGCAGATAAGAGGCAGCAAAATGATATGTAGCCGGCTAATGCATCGATCCATTGTGTCATCATTGGCCAAATCACAACATTTAACAGCTTTGGCAAGCCGAGAAGGGCAACAAGTTAATGAGAAAGCATGTAGCCAGCCTAATAATGCAATCATCCTATTGTGTCATCATCGGCCTAATTAAAACAATTGTGTGGCACATGAGCAGCTTTGAGTGATGAGACCAACTACAACCATAAACAAGATCAAGATGACAACATTTTTGCAACAGCTTTGCAAAATTTCTGGTGAATGAGGATAGATTTGAGAACCTTGACTGTCACCAGTTCATGGGATGCTGATGCATCCCCATGAGGGGCATGAATTGGTAACAGCAAGGGTTCTTGAGGTACCCTTGCATTAAAATCTCTAAGAGCATCATCATAGTTGTTGTACTTGATAGATAGCCCTTCTTCCCTAAGCACTTGCTTAGCACACTCATACCATGTAAAATAAATCCTGGGTTTCTTCCCTTCAAAGACCACATAGCGGGGAGGCATTCTCCAAACCAACCAAATGTAGAACATGTAAGTGGTCCGAATGACATGCCTCAATCGACCATTCAGTTTGAATGATGGTGAACATCATCGGCAACTTGATAAAAAATTAGCCTCATTTGTTATTTTCCTTGTTTAGTCATTGGTGGCTACCAAGAATTGTAAGAACCAAATAAAGAGGCAAATAAACAACAATTGCACTCCACCGCCATCAGCCATCACAAGAGGATGATGTTGTTGCTGTGGAGTACAACTGAGCATAAGTGTAGAATGGAAGGATAGGCAAAAAAGAAGAAAGCACAACAACAAAACCATCAAAACAAGAATAAGGTAGCCACCTCAAGTTTGTTTTATGCATCATAGGCCTTTAAATCCCAGATTACCACCCAGAGGCATAAACAACAAAAAATAGGCAACTAGTTATCAAATAAAAAGTAGCCAACAGAGGCTACAAATAAGTTTCTTACAATACCAAGTTGAGCCCAACAGACCAAGGGCTCAAATGTTCCCAAATCCTTGCCTATTGTTAGCCACCTTCCTAGGCAAACTACACCATCAAGGTCGGTGTCAAAAGAACAAGCAGACCTGCACAAAAGGTCCTGTTGCCAAAAAGAGAGAGGGTGAGGGGGGGGGTGGAGGAACTATACATCTCTCACGGTCAACCCCTCCTGGCCTTCTAGCCCTTCATGTGTAGTGGAACTACACATAGTAGTTTTTGGCCAGGAAGGTCCTAAGCCAAAGGGCCCCTGTGGGCATCACTCATGTTCACAAAGCCCCCGCCTTGGGCCTTGTTGTCTGGGAGGAAGGTGTAGGCAACAATAAGTGCCTCCTCACTGAAGCCAGGCATCTCCATCACAGCAAGGTATAGATTGGCATCAACATGGGCAGGTCCAGTCTCCCTAAGAGCATTGGCCACATTGTTCACAGCATCTGACATGTTAGTCAACATGAGCATCTCCTCCTCAGAGAAGTTCCCTCTCTTCCTCTTTGGGCCAAGAATGAGGAGGTAGGAAGCGATTCAGTGGCCTTGCTATCCCTCCCCATTCACTTTGGGAACTGTGGTGTGGGTCAAGGAGGACCATCGGCCTTGGCACCAACACTTTGTCCACTGGTTACGCCCTAAGGCTTCACTGGACCCAAGTGCAAACTTACTGTGGCCATGGCATTAGCAAAGATAGCCTCCATCTGGGTGTAGAACCTAATAGGGCAGTTAAGAAACTCTGCATCTTTAGGATGGTCCTACAGAGTTGGGCAAATGTAGTTTAAGAAAGGCAAATGTAGGTAGTCAAGGTAAAGACGAGATCAAACTGCTACCTTGCAGTGGCCAAGGTAGTGCTCTTGCTCAAGCATGATAGCATGAGCCTGGTCATCCCAAAGAGCAGCACTAAGGTCCTTCAACTTGCTCACCCTAGCCCATTTCTGCCTCCACTTCCTCAAGTGGTTGTACACTTGAGTTGGGCTAACAACCTCCCCACAGAACTGCTTGAGGGCTTTGGCCACAGAATTCACATCTTTGTCCTTAAAAACCTTTTCAGGCCTGCTACCATCACTAACAAGGGCAGCCATCCTCCTTAGCACAAAGCCAGAGGTGGTGTTGGTCCACCTCATTGCCCGTGGTGTGGGTCAAAGGAGGACCATCAGCCTTGGCACCAACACTGTCAGCCTGGTTCTGCCCTAAGGCTTCACCAGACCCAAGTGCAAACTTGCCTGTGGCCATGGCATTAGCAAAGATAGCCTCCATCTCAGTGTAGAACCTAATAGGGCAGTTAAGAAACTCTGCATCTTTAGGATGATCCTACAGAGTTGGGCAAATGTAGTTTAAGAAAGGCAAATGTAGGTAGTCAAGGTAAAGACGAGATCAAACTGCTACCTTGCAGTGGCCAAGGTAGTGCTCTTGCTCAAGCATGATAGCATGAGCCTGGTCATCCCAAAGAGCAGCACTAAGGTCCTTCAACTTGCTCACCCTAGCCCATTTCTGCCTCCACTTCCTCAAGTGGTTGTACACTTGAGTTGGGCTAACAACCTCCCCACAGAACTGCTTGAGGGCTTTGGCCACAGAATTCACATCTTTGTCCTTGAAAACCTTTTCAGGCCTGCTACCATCACTAACAAGGGCAGCCATCCTCCTTAGCACAAAGCCAGAGGTAGTGTTGGTCCACCTCATTGCCCGCACAACCCCATTCCCAGCTACAGGAGCAGCAACATCAACATGGTTTGCTGCACTGGAGCAAACACCAAGACCGACACTAGTTGCAACAGGCAAGAAGACTAGCACCAAAGACCAGGCTACAGCAGGTAGAACCACCATTGATGAGCTGCTCCATCATGAAGTACCAACAACAAACCCACCCTCAAATGCACTGAATCCATCCTAGGGACTGGCATGTAATGAAATCAACAATGAAATTAGTCAAGAAACGGTCGACAAACAATATTAATATGATTGTATGAACTAACCACAGACTGACAGATCATGAAGAACAGAATGTTTCAAGAACAGAATGAATGAAGCATAAAATTGGTCTCAGCTTTGTCCACCAAATTATTACATCACCATGACACACACATGAGTTCCATAGCAGGGTATAGAAACTAAATTCAAGAACATATTACATCAACTAGTGTTTGTTCTCCTCCCTTCCCACATAGCATTGCAAATGGCATCCCTTATTTCAGCCATGTCAATAGAGTCTTGGTCCAGATGGGCTGGAGGCAGGTTGGTTGGATCAGCAGAAGTAGTGAAACCTTCCTCATCAGGCACTACTTCATCAATGCCAAAACCTAGGATCCAGTTATATAAAATGGCACAGGCAACTACAAGCTTCACTTGTGTCCTATACTTGTGGAAGGGTTTGTTGTCCAAGATCCTAAACCTGCCCTTCAGTGCACCTATAGCCCTCTCCACAGTCACTCTAAGTGATGAGTGCCTAAGGTTGTAGAGCTCCCTTGCATTGGTGGGCCTGTTCTTTGGGCCATACTTAGACAAATGGTACCTAACCCCCCTGTAGGGAGGTAGGAAACCATTTTTGCATGCATACCCAGCATCTACCAAGAACATTTTACCTACACAAGACATCTACTGTGAAAGTGTGTGTTAATAGGCCATGGAATATGTAATTAGTGTTGGTGTGCAATTACCTTCTGGCCAAACTCAAGCCATCTTCTCACAGCTCTGACATCGCCAAAAGCAGTTGCATCATGGGCGAGCCCTCCCGATCGACCCAGGACATAAGTGAATTTCAGATCACAATTCACAGCTACCATCACATTTTGGGTGGGATCCTTTTTCCTACCCCTAAAAGCTTGTTGCATGCGCCTAGGAACCCTTGCTAGGAAATGAGTGTCATCTATAAAGCCAATGACATCCTAAAAAGCATGGGTCAGTCATTGCAACAACAGTCTAATGTAACTAATGAAACCTGTGGTATACAATTACCTTAAAATATGGATTCCATGTATGGCTTCCAAGAATCTTTGGGTGAGTGGTAGTGCTATTGGCTTTATCATTTCATTCCTAAGCTCACCCACAGCATACAACACCTGATGGAAGTGCTTGTGGACAGTTTGAATGGACCTCCTAAAGGACTGGTGGACAACCCTAAATCTTTGGTTGTGCCCTACAACATGTAAAAACATGGCAACCTGCTCTTCTACTGACACCCCCTCCCTATCAGTGACAAGACTCCTCTCTCTAAAAGTTCTCACTAACTTAAAAAAAGCAACTCTCTTCATCCTAATCATAGAAATACACTCTGAATCAGTGGAATTGTATATCATTCTCAGTGTTCTCTATCTATGCCTTTCATTTTCATCCCTAAGCAAGGCCAGTGCTATAGGATCAGGCAGTGGGGTTTCAGGTTCAGGGATTTTCCTTTACAGCCTAGTGGATACAAAGTAACCATAACAACAGTCAAGGCAGCTGCCTTCCTACACAACATGTCACGGCTCAAAGACAGATCCATCTACAAGCATGTAAAAATGTAACATGATTTCAGCTTAATGTACCCTGCTAGGCATCAACATGAATGTGAAATGAATGCATGCCAACAAAAGCACGGCTGCATCTTGTATGTGATGCCTCCCAGTACTATGTGGACAACATCATCGACCAATGATGGAACAAAAAACTCAGAGCAATAGTAATCAGAAACAGATCAACATCCCTAACAGATCAAGAACAACAAGGTACAAGTAACACTAACAACTGCATCAAACAGTTATGAACAGCAAGGTACAATACAAATCTAAAACAGATCAACAACCCTAACAGATCACGAGCCCAACAGATCAAGAACAGCAAGGTACAAGTAACCCTAATAGGAGCATGAAGTAGTTATAACAAGTATGAAACCCTAACAGATCATGAACAGCAACGAACAAGAAACCCTAATAGGTTCAAGAAGCACCACAAAAAAGAAGATTGGGGGTCGATTTCACCTTGGCTCGGGGTCCAAACAACGGAGAGGAGGCAGATCTGGAAGTAGAGGATGCAGATCGGGAAAAAGACGAAGCAGATGCGGACGGAGAAGAAGAGGAACACCGCTGCCACGGAGTCCCAGCAGCAGCCGGAGCGGGGACGCGGCGAAGAAACTCGGCGCCGGTGACCTAACCCACAACCAGCCGGAGGTCGCCGCCGCCGCCACGCACCACAACTCACCGCCGGTCTCTCACGAGGGAGGTGGAAGAGCAAGCACCGAGTGGAAGAAGGAGAGAGTGGAGAGTGGGAACCCGTATATAAAGGCCGGCGAAATCGCCGCCATTTCGCTTCGCGCGCGGCGGCCAGAGCGGGAGCGGAGAGCGGGGACGCGCGCGAAGACGTTCCCTTCCCGCCAGAGCCCGCGCGAGCCACCCCGCCGCCGCCCAAAATCGCCCGCGTGCGTCGCAGACGAGCTCGGCTCCGAAGAAACGAGGGTTTCGGTCGTTTCCAGAGAGCCAGGCGGAGAGGTCGAGTGTTGCTCTGCGAAGCCAGGCTCGCTTGCGGGCCATCGACCACAAACATGGTAACTTGCAGCCCACGGGCGCAGCCGGGCCTCCGGGCCAGGGTTGCAAACACGCCCATAGTGTGTGCCTCGCCTCCTCGAGCCACACCACACCGGCGGCATCAGATCAGGCAGGCAGTTAAGTAACTTCATGGAAAGCCTGTGTGTCACGGGGATAAGATAAATTAACATGCAGTTAGAGCAGCATTTTTGACAACAAGCAAGGACTTGGTTGCAGTTTTGAGCTTTGCAGGGTCACAATTGAAGTTCAAGAACAGAAGAATGACGAGAGCTGAAACTTGAAATAAATGGAGATGAAACAAAAGGATGCATCCATCAGGGTCATAAAAGTTGTCATTCATTTCATGCAACATACCTTGAGCATATCCGCAAGCTTTAGAAGTTATAATTCAGAATACTGTCAGTAAAATTTGCTGAAACAGTAGAGAACATATTTCAGCTGATCAAGGAGGCAGATACAGGCGATTTTCATTCATGTTAGAACATACTTTATAATTTTATTTGAAAATTTGAATGCATGTGAAAACAATCTCTTAGTCCACTTTGTTGATCATTTCAGAATACTTGGGAATACTGAAAAATGCATGCTTAGTACCATATCAAATATGGCTATTGCTTAAAGTCATGGGGTAAACAACCAGTATAACCTGCACTGTAATTACAATCATTGCAGGGTGACAATTGAACAACTGCGATAGTAAGAATCTCCAAAGTTGAAAGTATAAAAGAAGAATAAAAGGAGACATCACAGCTGGTGACCCAGTGGTAACACATGGCAGAAGTGAATAAGAACCAGTTCATTCCATGCAGTAACAATTATATAAACCCCAATGCCAGAGCCTGTTCCTTGGCAGATTAAACAGGCAGGATTGGATCCAAACCCCTCAATGGAGTTGCTGTCACATGCCCTGGGTTAGATCTAATCTTGCCTTTCCACTGTCAAGTACTTTGTTAATTACTGCCCCCTTGTACTTGGTGTTAATGTAGTGGAAGCCACCATCCAGCAGATCAAATATATATACTGGCAAAAGGGCAGGAAATTTTGCAGGCACACGCATCTAGATCTACCTTCCTTCCTCTCCAAATTCCCATTGGTAAATGAGCTGTTCTGAGTAAGCACTGCAGCGTTACTGATCCCGATCCGGTAGAAGATAATGGAACTTGCAGGGGATTTACATTGGAAGAACTTCTGTTGCAGTGCTGGTTGTTTTACCTGAAAAGGTTATGGTACAAACTCCTGCTCGGTGTTTACAGTAAAAAAGAACAGATGTACAGAGATAAGCGTCCTTAGCTCTGATAGCATACATATACAGAGATTAAAGTCGAAGTAGATCAATGAGTTACTAACAAACTCTGACTGACTAGGCTGAGGAACAACACTCACCGATTGATGGATGAACCTGACAAAGTACAGCACGCTAGAAATTATTACTACTGATAAAATCTCAAAACACGTAAGTACATAATAGTCCTCATGAACCAATCTATGAGATCACAGCATCACAATGCAGCAGCAGGGACGCTTAAAGCTGGCACAAACTGAAAGGCTAACAATTTGTACATGCAAGGGAAGCAGATTGAAGTGAGGAAGTTATGCTTGCTGAATACTGACAGTGGAGTTAATTTTTAGAAAGTACAATCATTTGCACAATGCACAATTCCCAAGGCTTTCACCACATCGTGATCTAGATCTACCGACCCAAACTTGTTCACCTGCTCCAGTTTGTTCCTTGATGCATATGGCATTGGGAGGTTTGTTGGCAAAATGTCAATGTATCTGTTCTTTGCGTGGTGCTTGTGCTTGCTACGCATAGAGGTAATTAAATCGACCAGTCGTTGAAAGGCATCTCCATATGGCATACTATTTATCTTTGATTTTGTTAAGCAAAAGCGATCACGTGAGGCAGTGGACTACTGGAGAGCGAAGATACTTGCCGCGTGACTGCAGCCACCCAACAATATTCCATTTTTTAGGTCCTTGTAGACATGGTGGTGTGGCTATTGGTAATCATGTGCTCCATCTTTTGTTTGGGGTGTAGCTAAATTTTCTTAATCCCACAAACCAAAAGCCAAAGCGAGTTTTACGTAAGGAGAAGCAAAGGTCGACAAAATTCAAACTGAAAGGGGAAAAGGAGAGAATATGAATAAAAAACTGAAATATTCAAAAGCTAGCTTGCAAGTAACAGTAAGAATGAAGATGACGTACATGAGATATTGACAAGGAGAGAATCTAGGCATGACGGGCGGGGAGGTGGTAGGGTAGGAGTGTAGGACACATGGAGAGGTTAAAGACACGGAGAATACAACA